GTTTTTCTAACATTCCCTCTAAAGATGCTATAAGTTTACGTATAATCTACCATATCTGATCGAGCACAAAATTGAAAAAGAAGTCACAATGGATCACATAACCCAATCAAGACCCACACAACTCATGAACGTATATAAAACATGGTATTTTAAATATTTTTAGAGTATTTTTCATTTCAAAAAAAATGAAACACTTTAAAAAAAATAACTCCCACTATGAAAATACCACTTAACAAATATTCTTAATTTTTATAAATTTTTTAAAATTTAATTAAGTCAAAAAAGATATTTTTAATACTTTTTTATAATTTATTTCAATAATAAAATAAAATAAAATTTTGATTTTCTGAAAATTAATTTTAATTATACATAAAAATCAAGAATATTTCAAGGATCTAGTTACAATTTTCGAAATTGTTATTGCAATTTGTAATATTTAAGGGACCACTATGCAGTTTTCTCAAAATTGAATTTGAAATCATCCACCACCACGGCAACAGTTCAGGTTTCTGCCTTCTTTTTTTTTACGCAGGTTACTGTTCATCGTAAAAGAAAAATTGCAGTTTTTTTTTCAGATTTCTGTCAAAATTTCGTAAGGTCATAACTTCTTCAATTTAAGGCCACAAATTATGTTCTTTATACCATTGGAAAGGTATCGAGAAGATCTATCAAACCATACCAAATGGTTATCATGAAACACTGTGTTGAAGAAGTTATCATGTGATTAAGTTTCGGGGTTTTACTGATTTTAATGCAAAAAATCATATTTTCATCCAAAACTTCGAATTCTCATAATTTCTTCATTTTAAGTCCAAAATTTGAGTTCTTTATATGGTTGGAAAGCTTATGAGAAGACCTTTCTAACCATACTAAAATTACTGCATGAAGATGAACGAGCAGATGGCAGTAAATATTTAAAGTTTCTGTAATTTTATCTAGGGTTTCATTTTTCTCCAAATTTATAAAATCAAAAATTTTCAAACTTTACAGATATGATCTACATTATATAAGGAATATGCTATAAAAAT